CTCCGACTCCCAAACAAGAAAAAAAAAGCAAAAAAAGAGAAAAGAGAAAAAAAGGGTTGTAGTCCCCGAGCCCCATCGCGGCTCCGATCACCGTCAAGCTCACTGATCGGACGATGCGTTTAGGTCTCTCCTGCTGCGACATCGCCGGCCCCTCCGCTGTGAAGGCCTCGGTCGTACTACCTACCTCCTGGCCTATCGTGATGTGTACTCGGGCGCTGCCTGCTGTCCTCGCGTGTAGTGCGACAGGTCAATGTCGAGTCCGACACCCACGCACTAGACTCCTGCGCAGTCCCCGCTATCCGCCCCTGTCCGGAGTAGTCCACACTGCCGTACAAGGCTCCCTGCAACGTCACTTGCGCTGTCCCTGTCCCCGCCGCGTTCGCCCTGGTGAGCTCGCTCAAGCTCGGGACGTCTGCTGACAGCGCCTGCGTCAAGCTACCTGCCTGGAGCTCCACCGTTCCCGAAAATCGCAATGTCACGCCCGCGGCTCCCGCCGTCCGACAGCGTAGCGCAGTCTCCGATGTCCAGGCGGTCGCCTCGCACCCTGTGAGTCCGAGCCTCACCTGCACGGTGTATGATGACGTGGCAAGATGAGCCCCCTGTATGCTCAAGCTTGACGATCCCGTGCCGGCCTGGTTACGGACAAGCAGGGAGCTTGCTAGTACCTTGTCCCATGAGTACACCTCCGACCTGGTCCCCGCTGCCTCCTCTACCGTAACCGTCACCCGCCTAGACCCTTCTGCCCCTGCACTGACTCGGCAGTGTAGGCTGCTGTCTGATACCCACGTCGAGGCCTCGCATGCTGTGAGCCCCGTCCTGCCGGCAGCCGTCCGACCTGACGTGCCTAGGTTATCGCCCTGTAGGCTGACGACGTATGCCGCTCCCGTGCTTGGAGCGTTGTCTAATCGCAGCGTGCTGGAGGTCGGCAGGTCCGTGCTGTACGCCTCCGTCCGCGACCCGACCGATGCGTCTACACTGAGCACCATGTGCGCAGTCCTTGTAGATTGACTCCCGACAAGACAGCGCACCGACGTCTGTGACTCCCAATCCGTAGCCTCACTGGACGACACCCCGCTCCGAGCGTGGGCCGAGTACACGGCATGACCGAAAAAGGTCCCCTGAATCGTCGCGCTGATCGAGCCCGAGCTTGCGGCGTTCCTCCGCAAGGCGCCGCTTATCAAGTCAGAGTCCAAACTCAATATACCGGTCGAGGTCCCGACTTGATACCCCGCTGTCAGCGAGGCTCGGGTCGAGCCGGCTACTCCTGCGCTGGCTCGGCAAGGCATCGATGTGCTCGACTGCCACTGCGTGCTCTCACACGAGGTGTAGCCCACGCGCGCTTGTCCCGTGCCGTCGTATGCGCCAAGCTGGCTCCCGTACACGGTCATGACAAGAGAGGCTGTGCCTGCAAGGTTTGCTGGGCTCATGACACTCACAGCTGCTGCGTCTACTGTCAGAGCTTCCGTCCGACTCCCCGCTACGACCCCAAGCGTTGCCAGGACGATATTCGATGCTCCAAGTCCGCTAGACGCCATGCACTGTACAGCCGACTCTGACGTCCACGCTGTAGCCTCGGAGGCCGTGTGTGCGATCGCTGCTCTGCCGGTGTGGCCGACGGATGCAAGGCCGCTTCCGTACATGGAGATGCTGACTGAGCCCGTGGCTGGCTTGTTGGTCACCAGCCCCTCGCTCAGCGACGGCTTGTCGGCCGTGAAAGCAGCCGTGGATGTACCGGCCTGCTCGCTACCGGTGACAACGACGGAGCGAGATGCTTGCCAGCTGCGACTCACACGACACAACAGCTGCGTGTATGATACCCACGCTGATGCCTCGCACCCTGTGTATCCAACCGTCGCTCGGATGCTGCTCTGGGCTAGCCCATACCCGCCCCG